TAACGTCTTCTGGTAAATAAGCAGTTGCCATGAGCATTTTGACACCCAACTTAAAAGTGTCTCCTTCCACAAAACGGCGAGACAATCCCATTGTCAATACTCTCCTGTACAGAGATTGGCAAAAGTGGAAATGACAACATTTTATTGTCACCTCACTTCCAAACAGGTCTTTAAAATGTACAACCTCAAAATCCCCCATAACGACAACATTATTGTGAAACACTTCTTTATCACACAATCTTTCAATTTGATTGAATAGTTTGGAATAAGTCTCTTTTGTTTTAGATGTCAAACAGGCATAAAAAACGGGGAAAGACTCTCCGTTTTTAAAGCGTGCAAAGTGTACAGTTGTGAAAATAGCTCTGTAAATCAGTTTAAACTGACATTCACAAACAATTCAATTATTATTAAAACAACAAAGTCTTAACTAAAACAAACTAGGACACGATTTAAAGGTCCCATCCATCATTATCACGTTTGCATTGATAAAAAACTCAAACAAATTCCTGTTTCCAAAAATTAACATGTCTTCGTCTCTAAACAACAGAAATGTCATTTCTTCTTCAGTAAAAGTAATTTCTTCAATTTTTGATGGATTTGTTGCTATTTCCTTTTCCAATCGAATGGTTCTTGCACAAGCAGACAGTCTTTTAACGGAGCCTTGAACATAATTGTCTACTACAATTTCAGCGGTAGTTTTGTTTTTAAAATTAATACTTTTGGCTGCTTCTTTCATTTTTAAAGAGCACAAAGTATCATAATATGATGTAGAATCATGTTCGTGCGGTAAATCTTTCATACATCCAGTTTCTGTGGCGTTTACCATTGCACTACCTTGATACTCAACTTTAATTCTTTTACGACAGCCAGCAATTGCACATTTAAAAACGATTCTTTTCGAATCAGTTGGAATGTATTTATAACCATCCACAAATGGTAATAAACAATTTCTTGAAGAATTCAATACGGTGAAATGTGGAGGCTGTGGAGGATTCATATATAAAAACATATTGAGATGGTTATTATTTACACAACTTTAAAAGAAAGGTTGTTTATATTAATAATAACTTTAATATCATCTAAGAATAAATTGAGTCGTTAAAAATATCTATCTGGTAATAAGTTTTATTTTTAATTTTAAACAAGTGGTTAAAGTGGGTTTTTGTCAGTTTTGCGCTAAGTTGCTTTGTTGAACTTCTTTTTGATTGGAAATGGTAATTTTTGGAAATGCTATTGATTATATTTGCCTCTTGTTGACACACTAAAAGATCTTCTAAGCTTTTTGTTGCCAATTGTTTGATTCAAATTACATATAAATTATAATTCTATGATTCGGATTTTTATTTTTATAAATGGTTTGAAATAAAAATATCGTTTCAGTTAAATTTTCAAAAAGTTGAACTTCTATTGAATTTTTTCAGGCGAATAGTAATCAGGCGAAAAATAATCGGGCGAGTTATCCGTTTCCCCGTGGTTGTCGGTGAACCACTTAGATGCTTTTTCACTGAAATGTGAACCAAGACCATCCATCACCACCACTGCTCCCTCGTCCTTGTACTTTGCTCTTCTTTTGTTTAGTTCTGGTAGAAGACATTCTTCTGCCATAAACAAAGATGTCTTTGGTCATGAAAGCCTTTGGTGGTACAATGGTTATTGGTCAGAGGAGTACTCTTCAATATCAAGTTATTGTTTCT